ATGCGGATGTTTTCTCTCAACCCGCATGTGCGATCAATAAAAATTGCAGCCGAGATTCTCAGCCACTGCTCCCCCCCCACCCCCCGCATTTGAAGATTTCGCACGAGCAAGGCGAACTGTAAATTCCACGAATTGCACCGCGGTGAAAGTCCAGCTCTCAGTTTTGTACTGGCTGGTTAGTTCATAATCGAGCAGTTTGTCTAACCGAGTCGGCTTTGCCAGGCCTGCAGAACTACGTGGCTAGGCGATAACATTCGACATTTTGCTTGCTGGCTCGCCTCCACAGGACCATGTTGGTTTTTAGTTTTTTTTTCTTTTACACGCTCTCTATTCATGCGTGTGCTCATGCGAGGGGAAGTGGCGCCAAATTCTTGGCATCTTCTACAAAAACACGCACACAAAGACAAAGATCCCCAGTATAGCCTTAACAGACTGTAGGGGAAAGTGCTGTTATCGAGCAACATATAAAGGCCAGCATGGCACACGAGGGGGTGGGTGGCTTACACCACGCCTGGCCGCCTTTGTCTCCCTAGTGGCGATGTTAACACATCGCTCCAGGTACTCATTTGAGGCTGAGTCGACCTAGGGGAGGCCCAGGACCGGTTCAGATAATCGTCACTGGTGTTGGCCGTGAGCGGGAAATCGAACCCGGGTCGCCGGGTTCATAGCGCAGCGCGCTCACCGCTACACTACCGCTCCCCACAGACACGCACACAGACACGCACATTGCACGTCCACTCATTCGCACATTCATACATTCGCATTGTCAACGATAGCAGCAGCCACATGCCATTATGGTTGTAGTGCTAGGGTAAAGTGCATCTAACACACCCACAATGACAATGGCCCCCCCCATTCACCCTTGTAGACCACAGCGGACCATAGTTGAAGCGAACACCTATCAAGGTTGGCACGGCACACCAGGGCCCGTTGTGGCAAAGAAATGATGCTCATTCGCCTTTATCTCACCAATGCCGATGATGTTAATCGTACCACACTAGGTAGTAATTTTAGGTTGAGTCTGCTTGGAGAAGGCTCTGATCAAGTATGGACACGAGTCGCTACCGGTGTTATATTTCATCATCGGGGATTGAATCTGGCTGCTTGGAAGCGCAGTGCAAAATTGGTCAACCGACTTAGACATTATCGCACAAGCAGAGCCCTTGGGGGGGGCAAATGCCGTTGGCACGCAACTGTGCAGGCTAGCCTGACGCAGGAGGTGGTGTGGCCCGTCTTCAGCACTGATGTTGACACACCCCTCGTTTGAGTCAACCTCGAGGGGAGGAGGAGCAGGATAGGTTGACGTGCTGTTTCCCCACTGATATTGAGCGTGACTGGACGTAGAGCCCAGGTCTCCAGTTTCGCAGGGCAGTGAATGAACCGCTGCCACGTTCCCACACGCGCGCGCACACGCACAGATAATATTCACACACGCGTGCGCATCCTGAATCGTAACAGATGCTTCCTATGGATGAAATCCCTATGGAAAACGTCCATGCCTATCGGGTGGGCCCTGTCATTGTGTAGAGCACAGGCCCACGCTGCGCACTGTGACGGATTGCGCTCTGGGCAGTGTTTTAAATCGTCCAACCGCTGTGCTTGGAGAGCACTCCAACTTGCAGTCGGGAAGGGAGCGAGTTCTAATCCCGAGCCGATTTCATACCGCCAGGTGCACGTGAAGGCCACGCGACTTGTCGGAGGATTTGCTGGCCCGAGGTCAACGCGATGCGACCCATGTGCTACGTACGGGTTAACGCGGGATGATTTTCGGATGCACCACCCGCGCTGCCTACCGCGTCGCTTTTGTCAACGGCGGTGTTGTCCTTTTGTGAAGACGGGAATGGTGGTCCTATGAATAAACTGACCCTCTGCCAAAGGAATGTCGAATTGCTGGCATTGGCTCAGAGCTGTCAAAGAGAGAGAGAGAGAGACGAGCACCACTGGATATCTTGTTGGGAGAGAAACGCTCAACCTGCAGCCCCAATGCCAGCCAGCCATAGCGCTGCTTGTGAGGTCTACCGACGTTTTGGCAGAAGGATGTAATGTGATAACTGGGCTTTTTGATTAAAGGTATGTTGCTTGTCATCTTGCAATTGATAGTGTTGAAGCAAGGTTATGGATGTTGTTATATTGCAGATGCATTGCGAAACGTTGGGCGAAGCCCAAACGTTGGATATATATGAGCCTTATATGATCACGTACATATACAGCCCTTTTGTGAGTTCACTGCTGGATAAGGTCCTCCTCACATCGGGGACGGTCATGGGGGTTATTGGACCATATTTTACCAGCTGTTCCGTGCAGTTTGGTGCACGTGAAGAGTATTGACTTCGAATTGTAGCACAGTACAACAATTGATTAAGCTGCACTGCATGCTTACTGACAACCGTTCTCCGTTTGAAAGTATGTGAAAGGTTAAACACCATTGTAAAACAGCCAGACATTTGAGAATCTCTAACTATGCTTCCGATGCATATATTGAAATGTGTTTGAAAACCGACTTTTCTATAGATCCTCATTGTACATTTTGTACCACTTTATTCTGTAACAAAAAAAACTCTATTTCTATATGGGAATTAAAATATTGTTCATCTGCCTGCCTACTCTGACCATCTAGGCGCTTGTTCAGCCGACAGATTGAGATTTTTTTTTACGTGGAGGTCTATTTTGACCAATCCGGTGAAGGGTTTTTATTTCTGTAGTCTAATACCGTATAGTCTCGGTAGTTGAGGTTGGGTGTTGCGTAATGGGCTCGCAGAGGTGCAAATGAGTTGTCGGCATTTCAACAGACAGTAGTACTTGCAATGCAGAGGTCACAAATTCTTAATCTCATTGTCCAAGTGGGAAATCATTCATCTTTATTGTACGCACATCCCATTCAGCCCGTCGAGCGGTCGGCCAATTGAGACTCGATCAACACTGTTTTTGTAATGGATATCAGACCAAAGGGTAGGGCACAGTGTATCCTGCCATTTGTAAGTAATTACGTGAAGAAATGATATAATCGGAGCACACAGCCTCTCTGACCTGTGTTGTCTGTTCAACGTCACCGATCCATTGTTTCAAAAACGCGTGGAGACGAGACTCGTCTTGAGGCTTCTTGGGACCAGCACTCTTGCTGGTCTTAATAGCAGGCTTGACTTCCACCTAACTACCTGTATAGCTGATGCCTCCTAGAGAGACGCACGTGCAGGTTTAGTGTGAATCCCTAGACTGCTGTTATGCGTGTGTCGGGCATGCAGTGGGTCACGCTGGGTAGGCTCGGTGTGGTGACCCATGCACCTTTGGCATAATAAGAGGAAGAACACAAGGCGTTCCACGTGGCACACTGTAAGATGTACGTGCTCCGTCAGTGGAAAGGTCTTGAGGATCGTATTTCCAAATGAGCTGTTTGCAGCATGCTGAAGCTTCCTGAAAATATTGAATTGTAAAATATGACGATAGGATCATTCTGCAATATACACACTGCGTTGACAGGGTTTTTGGAGCCGGCACAACATATTCCCTTCAAGAACGTTTATGACGTACGACAGGCTGGATGCTTGTGCGAGGGAATAAAAGCGGTGGTGCGGTAATATGAACTAGCTGCGTCTAGGCTGTGAATGTGGAAACGGGGTCAGCACAGTTTGCTAGTTGCCAGGCGACATTTTCCCCGCTGTTTCTCCCTCCCAGCGCGCGCCCGACTCGGCTTGAAATCCCAGAGGCGACCGCGTCTCTTGAACGACGACGCCTCGCGTGTAGACGAGGCGGCTGGTTGTCCTCTGTGTCTCTCTCTCTCTTTCGTCACGGGGCTCCGTATGGCTGTGCTGAGCCAGCAATTGCCAGGTTCAAGCCCGTAGTTTGATGATTCGCAATGGTCATGGCTGGAGTACTGAGCCAGTGCTGCTGAGAAGCCTGTGTTTGAATCCAGCTCTCGGCAGTCTAACCAGCTTGATGGTGTCAGCCTCGTCACCAATTCCTGCATGATTAAGCCTTGCAAACAAATTGGGGTTAATGTTTTGCAATAGTGCTAACCGCATGGGGGGGGGGGGGGGTTACCGGTTATCGTTTAAAAACCCTAGTCTGAATCCGTGATTATAACGATGGGTCCAAAATCCATACATTGTATAGTGCATCCCACCAGCCATGAGAATTATCCCTTTCAGTTCAGTTCTAACTGACCCGAATACTAACCCATTACATTATTTGCGTCATTGCTGTATTTTGTATTTTTATTTGTTGTCCTTTTGGTGACCCAGGATACTCGTGCAATTGAGACGATGCTCATCTCTTGAGTTCTCCCCTCCTGGTTTAAACAAAATAAACTTGACTTCACTCCAAACCCCCCTTCCCCACCCCTCCGGTGGTGGTTCGCCGAGGCCCTTTTCCACTCTGTTCGCCTTATAATGTTGCCGTTCACAGCTCCCTGTTTGTGGTTTTCAGCCCCTCACTTGCTACAGCTGAGCCCTAATGCTGCCTGTCCGACTGGGGCTGCCTTTGCAGGTTTCGCACAAAACCGTCATCCTTTCCCCCGTGTGAATCGGACGCATTTTCTGCACGTGTTTTGCGCCACACGCTTGGCATGTTCAAGGGAGTGGCGCTGCGAGTGACTGCCACCTGGTGGCGATGCACGTGAAATGGCTGTCCAGTTAATATATCAGCAAAACGGGATTTGAAATTCAGTTGAGGATCTTACACGGGAGTGATGGTGCAGCGATTGGCACACTGTGCTACGATCCCAAACACCAAAATTCACTACTTGGCCACGCACTGGCTTTTAGAATTCGAAACAGCAACCTGCACTGGACTTCCGCTAGGTTGACTCGGCCTTAAGTGAATACTCGGAATTACGTGCAAACATCAGCCGCGGGGGTAGATAAAGGTGACCAGGCATGGTTTGATGGATACACCACCCCTTCGTGTGTCATTCCAGCCTCCATTAAAGGTGCTCCACTAACAGCACTTGCGCCCGGCAGTGTGCGAGACCTAACGGGTGTTTGTGTTTGTGTGCGGCTGCACAGAGCGCGACGGCCATCGTCCTGGAGAGTGTCATGTTCGCCATCCTGGCCGAGCGAGCGCTGGGGCCCAAGCTCTACGGCATCTTCCCCCAGGGCCGCCTGGAGCAGTACATCCCGGTAGGGGCCGCCCTCTTTATCAGCAGTGCATGCCAGCGGGGGTCATGGATAATACAGCAGCACATACTGGCAGGGCTGCCCTCTGATACATATGAAATGCTGGTCCGGCCAGAGTCAAATGTATTGTGTAATTTGAAGCAAATAGTATTTCTTTTTTTGATTCTTTAAATCAATCTGAGGACCGTGGAAACAACATTGTGTGTGTCTTGTATGCACTACTCGGCAGGCAGCCGACTCGTGCGGTTTCGCTTTGTGTGCCCCTTTTTTTTGGTACGCATCTACCACAAAGCGAGGAAAACCTGTCGAGGTATCTTCACAACGAGACAGTCTTATCTTCACAATTCATGCCAGGTGCCATTTTCGTTCGATCGTCTTACTGCCAATCAAAGGGTTGCAAATTTGATTCCTGGTTTGGTGGGTTGTGGGGGGGGGGGAATTAACTCAACCCATCAGTCTTCCACGATCATTCAATTAAGTACCACATTCTGGAAAGTCAGCGGTGGTTGTCCTTTGAACAGATTAAGGATATGGATTTTGCAGGGCTGGCTCCGTGCCACCAATGGCGATGAGAGTGTTGCCCCCCCCACCACCCGACGCTTTGAGGGACACTCGCGTTGACTCGTCGTCGTCGTGGTGGTGTTTCTCCCCCCCCCCCCCCGCCCGCCCGCCCGCGCGCCGTCTCATTTTAAGAGCCGGAAATTGGCCACGGAGGAGCTCTGGGTGCCCGAGCTGTCGGCCCAGATCGCCACCAAGATGGGCCACTTCCATCTCATGCAGATGCCGTTCAACAAGGAGCCGCGCTGGCTGTTTGACACCATGACCCGGTGAGCGGGCGAGGCACGCGACAACGGTCCCCCGCGTGTCGCGTTAACAGACTGTTGTTGTTGTTGGGGCAAGTGCTGTTAATGAATAGCACCTTTGAAGGCTGACACAGTAACCACGAGGGGTTTGGGTGGCCAGCACCACGCCTGGCCACCTTTGTCTCCCCAGTGGTGATGTTTTTACACACCGTACCAGGTTTTCATTTGAGTCTGAGTAGACCTAGGGGAGGCCCAGGACCGGTATAAATAATCGTCACTGGTGTCAACCATGAGCGGGAATCAAACTCGGGTCACCAGGTTCGGAGCGCACAACGGTAATTGCTACACTACCGCTACCCTTCCCACACCCACGCACGTACCTCCGATTATCACGATTGGCTATGTACGGTGCGAAAGAAGTTCAACATACACATGCACGCCCCCTGTAGTGTGGGACCTTAATGTCTCCCCAATAGGCCTAAGCTTACGATGTTTAGCAGTAACATCCCAGTAGGCCCTGCATGCATGTGCCAAAGGGAGAACCGCTCTCGTTGTGTCCACTGCAGGTATCTCGACCAAGTTATGACGCTGAACTTCTCGCGAGAGGTGCAGATCCGGAAGTTCAACAAACTGCTGGCCTTCAACCTCGTGCAGGAGATGGACTCCCTCAAGTGAGTCTGGCCACCTGGAGGCGAACCATCATCAAGGGCACGCTGATTGAGAGGGCTTGTGGCTAATAACAATAACAACTTTAATTTAAGCCAGTTTGGAGTTACCACACTTCGTCGAATATTGCCAAGTTTGGTCATGAGAATGCATTCTTTAACTTAAACGGCGATCTGAAGCAAAACCTACTGTCACGTTGTCAAACGCTTGCACACCCTGATGAGGGTTGAATTGTTTGGTTGTGTCCGGCAGTGGAGGGTTTACACGACAACATTTGTACAGATTATTACGTGGCTTAGCCTAAAATCAATCGTGAATTTAAATATTGGCTGCAAAAAGCTAATGTAAAGTACATGTTTATTTGAAAACCCTTTGTCAATCGACTTCTGGATTGAGTATTTTTTTTAATATATATACTGCGTCGGTCGTGGGGGTTTGTTTGACCATACTTCACCATGCTCGCCAATGTGCGTTGATCAGGCTTTAGTGGTGCCAGATATGGTTCAGACATCTCTCGCTGGCGACGTTGTTCGCCGTGGCTGGGAGTCTGATGGAAAGCGTTGGTTTTGTTGTGCAATGTGGTAGGAAATTGAACTAATTTTGGGATTCTATTTTTCCTCGTCGTGCAGGGCCCTACTTGCAGAGACGCTGTCGCCAGTCGTGTTTTGCCACAATGATTGTCAGGAAGGTAACACCACGTGCCAATTCATTTGCATTGCATCTCGTGTACCTTTGATCATGACCTGCGTATCGATAGTTCAATGTTAATGTGCTCAATTTGTTGAGGGACTACTGCTGTGTGGTGTTTTCCTTGGTGTGGTTGTTTTTGTTTTTGCTGCCTTGGCCGATCTTGCTAAATCAGACTGATATAATTAAATACGTCATTATTTATTTATAGTTCGTGACTTGCTTACCATTTTCTCTATTTGGCACTAGTCGTTGTTTTTGTCTTGTTTGCTGTTGTAACTCGCTGACCCCGTGCCCATACCGGACCATCTGTGAAAAAAGCACTTCATAGCTCATCGGATTCTTTCATCAATTAAAAATAGGAGATTCTGATTCTGTGTCGATTCACTCGGTCACTACCAACTGCAAATACCGTTGGTGACCGCGCTCGTGAAAAGCGTGAGCATGGATGGACAATGCAGTCGGTTGACACTGCAGCAGAGTCCCCCCGTATCCGAGTCGGAAAGTCGAGAAGTCTCAATCCAGGTCCAGGGTCCCATTCTGCCCTTCATCCCTTTAGCGATAAAAAAAAACCTTAACATTTTGTGAAAAGTCAATAGTGATTGTCCCATGTAGAGAATGGTCCTATCATGGCAATGTGGAATTTGCACCACAGACTCGGAGCAGCCAACCCCCTGGCTAAGTGGAGATGTGTACCGCCTCAGCGTTTGCTTTTGAACAGATTAATTTGACTTTCTAACTCGATTTTGAATGTTAAAACGAACGGAGGTACCGCTGTATGGGAAGTCAGCAGTGATTGTCCAATGCCGAGACTGGGCCGCCCCCCTCTCCCCCTACCTACCCATGTGTTCCACGCATCGTCAGCACCCATGCGTGTGTGTGTCCCCTCTGTGGGAGCGGTGGTGTAGCGGTTGGCGCGCTGCGCTACGAACCTGGCGACCCGGGTTCGATTCCCGCTCGCGGGCCATCACAAGTGACGATTATCTGAATCGGTTCTGGGCCTCCCCTAGGTCGACTCGGCCTCAAATGAGTACCCGGTGCGATGTGTAAACATCGCCACTAGGGTGACAAAGGCGGCTGGGAGTGGTGCTGGGCCACCCTCTCGTGTGCCATGCCGGCCTTTATAGGTGCTCGCTAACAGCACTTTCCCCTACAGTCTAAGGCTATATGGGGGATCTGTGTTTTTGTCTCTGTCCCCTTAGGGAATATTCTCCTGCTCAATGAGGAGGACTCGACTGCCAGCGCTCGCCTCATGATCATTGACTTCGAGTACAGCAGCTACAATTACAGGTGGGCAGCGCTGAGAGCTCTCCTAATGAACCCTCGCCCGCTAGGCCTCGCCGGCTAGGCCTAGCCGTATTGATGCAGAGATCTCAACTCTAATTTAGAATGGATATATTTTATTGTACGATATGGTGTTTCTGTTATTGAACTTGTGTGTGTGTGTTAAAAAAAAATCGTTGCTCAATAGTGTGAAATGTGCTGTTTAGCAAAAATACTCCATTTTCCAAATGAAATAAGTGTGAAGTTTGTACGTTAAATATCTCAAAGTAAACAATTGTAACTTCTTTAAATGATTGTTTCAAGTAGTAATGTGAAAAAAATCATTGGCTATTAAGTTATGGTATCCAATATGTTTGTGATGGCAGTTTTTAAATAGAATATCATGAATTATGCCTTAGTTCATGGAGTATAATCGAATTCTTAAAAGATGATGCATTTTGGTAAGACTGTTTAAATTATTTGGTAATGCGGAAGTCTAAAATCTCTTGGGATTTTTTTCACGTTTACTTGATTTCGATAAAATAATAAGTTACCCATGTTCATAATGGTACATGTGTATGTCCAGCAAATATGTAGACATGGACGTGCGTTGATATGGATATTATTTTTTAATTCATCAATATCTACTCCCCGTCTTACTCAACCAATCTAAATGTGGCACTTGCACTGACTGAGTAATTGTAAGGTTTGGATGAAACTATTAGCAAGATGCAGGACATGTGGTGCAATGTAGTCGTGCAAAGCCCTCTTCGGCACTTTGGACAATGGTGCAGACATTTTTCTTGGCCGGAGAATGGCAGTGATGTCCATTCGACAAACTGTTGCCGGACCAAATGTAATAATCGTATTAGTAAAAGCAATGCATGGCTCTTGTGTCGGTTAGTAAAACATGCAGATCATCTAGCATGATTTTAACTGTTTAAATATTTCTTAAAATGTTGCTGCAACACAGCGGAGGTAAGTTTCCTTGCATTTCGTCGAATTGTTTGACGTAATGAGTTTTTAGAGTGAATAACGTTTAGTTTTTTTATACATGCTTTTTAATGACTTGTACAAATTGAATGCAATTTACTGCATTTTTCTGCATTTTATTTTAAGAGCAGCTGTGTTATAGCGCTAAAAACTTGTCAAGTGTTATCCCCGTTCTGAGTTTACAAAGTCGACATACAACTAGAATTTTTTTTACAATGAGCAGGTTGTTATTTTTCCTGTGCTCTCACCGCCATTTGTTGCTGTTTTAACGCGAGCAGGAAATGTTAGTGACGCTGTTATGTTAGTCTTTGTCGATGGAGAGATGGCGATACTGGTTGCTAATCCAAACTCTGCTCTCATTGGCCTTTGCCGTGAGCATGAGCCGATCCCCATTGGCTGATGCGTACAGAATCCATTCCATAACTTAAAACGCTTCCTTCATGCTCCATTTGAAATGTGCGACAAAGATAGTTGCACATCCAAATGAACTTACAATGCTGTTATCAGTGCACATTCATCGTAGCACAACAAATAATCCCTGCAAATGAGTTTTGCATAGTGGATATGTGCTTTTCAAGGGTAGTATTATTTGTTGAGTACAAAACTCTAACAATTGGTAAGAGTATTTGCTCTTCAGGCAGCCACGATAGGGCTAACATTTATCATTCCTATACCTGCCATGTAATGCAGCAGCTCATTTACCCAGAGCCCGTGACTGCTGGAAGTTAGACATTCAATACTTCAACGAATTGGAAATAAAATTCAGGAATGTTTTAAATAGTTTTTTTGTACTTCAGAGACTCGTGGCAATCAATTCTCAGCGTGTTGTAAATTGTGTACAAAGGCAGACATTCTTATCTCAATTGGTCTGATTGAAGCAGAAGAGCCCAGAATGTGATGTCGATTTGCACTCATGTTGCTCAGGGTTTGGATTAGCAAGTTCTGTGTGGTCGCTAGCAAAACTAGGTGGGGGAATCAGCCCAGGAGGAGGAAAACTTTTGCCTTGTTGCTCTTGGAAGCGATTTAGATTCGTTTTGTGTTAGACTTTCCCCGCATAACCTGATCTTAACCCTTCTAGGGATGAGCGGAGCTCGGTACACACTTCTTAAAGCAATGTAAGAGCTTTGCCTGTTTAAAAATTAACCGTACTCCTTTCTTTGGTCTTATGCATAATACAAAAAAACCCGTTTTAATGAGCAGATGAACGATGGAACTAACTTGTGCGTTTGGTAGCGATGCGCAGCGCATGTTTGTTCGTAGTTTTGCTGGCCCCAGTTTTGATTTGACAAAGGGCCGCACGAGAGAGGCGTCGAATTTAAATTCGGAAGCAAAAAAAAAACGAGCGCGTAAAAAAGCAGAAACGGAGATGGAGAGCGAGAGAAAGAAAACCCGAAAGGAAATGTGTTGTTCTTCTGCAAAATTGTGCTGTGTTCGTGTCTGTCTTCAGTTTGTGTTTTGATGCGTTGTCAAAACACTAACCGAGGGCCCCCTACTGGTCTGCACGAGGCTGGGGGTTGAGTAAGTGCCTTCGCCGATAGACAGGTGGCCCCACGCGGGCCACCACGTGCGCTTGTTTATGACACCACGCACGGGAGACCATTTGCCGGGTTACTGGGCTCCGAGCCGCGCTCCTGCGCTCATTCTACCCGCCCTGTGGCTACACTCCCACACCCTCCCCTCCCCCCATCCCTCCCACCCCACACACTGCCGTGCAGCGATGGCCATAGCCGGTCCCGCTTCGTAGCCCCTCCCCCCCCCCCATCCGTGACGGCGCGTCTTGGCTATGGATCCGCTAGGGTCCTGGCTGGCCTTAGGTACACAGCGGAGAAACCGAGCGTGGGAATCCTGAGCTTGCGAGGCGAGAGACGAGCCCAACTTGGTCTTTAGGGTTGATGTTATTGCAAGGGTAATCGTAGTAATAACAATAATGGGTAAATTACGATTGACCTTGGTAGCGCACAGATTGCAGGAATGGATTTCGTCAGTTATGGGGGAGGGGTGAGTAACAGAATGAATGATGGAGAAATATTCGTCAATAAATAACAACGCAGCCACGTATAAACAACCTAAGCATTTACTGAGTTAAACCAATAGTATAAAGTGAAAAATGGATTATGATACATCAATTGATATTACAAGCCAAAATAATATTAGTCTAAAACAGTGTGCTAACAGGCCCTCGGTAATCGTAGAGATACTAAGGGATAGAGGAAGCAGATTAATCACACGTGTACTTGTGTTGGACTTGACTATCGGATTTCACTGCTTGTGCCATTGTTGCACACTGACTTTGGTAAAAACAGGAAGTTAATGCTACTGATGTGATAGTTATTTATACGCTGTTACTCATCTCTGTTAGTGGTCTCCACAGCAATGTGAAACTTTTCACAATCCTGTCTGTAGAACAACGACTTTTGGCTTTCCGTAAAGTAGTGCTCATTTTACAGACCTTTTGAGTGATGGTGATGGGCCCTGTGTTAACCCTGGCTGGGATTTTTACTCAAGATCTTGGTTATTGTGAGTCGGGCACTCTGCCCACAGCACCACCTGGCCTAACAAAGGATGCAAGGGCGATAATTACGCATTTGAGGAGCAATTAGCGAAGAGGAGAGCCGCGTCTGTTTAGGGCCTCAGCCACTGATGTGCGCTCCTTTAGCCAGACGGCCTCTGGGTAAAACTCGGTGACTCGTCAAGAGACGACCGCTTGGACACCGCTGCACGGCAAGGGGGGCAGGGGCAGCCTCATTCACCCAGGGTCCAAATTACAACTCCCCCCTCCCCCAGGGACGTTTCCAACCTTCTCAAAGTTCACTCGCTTGCTCGGGTGTGCGAGACAATCGATCAACATCTTCCCTTTCGCGTGGGGTTGTTGCATTTGCCAAGTGGGGGTGGCTGATTGGGTTGATGTATTGCCTATCACTCGTCTCGTTTGATTCTGAGCGAGCAGAGCTTTGTTGTAAAGAATTGGACTTGCGCCCACCCCACCTTACTGCCCCTCACCTCTGTCGTCCTGGGAGTTTTTGATGCCACGATACCCGTTAACCCCGCAAATAACCTCGTGGTAGAGTGGTCAAATCTGAGCCTTAGCTCCATGCAACAGCACTCACAAATAGCAGCGTGCCCAGCTGTGTAATGCTGTGAGTTGTAACCCATTGCTTACAAAGAAAAAGCAAAGATTGGAACATTAAAGACGTAATTCTTGCACATATCGGGTTACTTAGCAATCACTTACTTGAGAGGAATTGAAAAGAATACGTTAAGGAAAAACAAACAATTTTTTACTCTTAAATCTTTTGACTGTTTTCGTTTTTACTTTGTAATAATTTCTATCAGCTTGCTTCTTAAAATATGTAAACGGACCATAAAAAAGTGTAAACACAACATTTGTTTAAATTTTACTGGAATATTGCGTCGTCGAACAATGTCTACGAAATGTTTGTAAAATAAAAGAAAACAATTTTGACGTCATTTAACTCGACCATTGTCTAACGTAGTACCTCTTTGTTTTCCTTATTTTAAGAAACCAAAAAAAGTAACTTTGTGTAACTGACATAACATTTTGTTAATTTTAAATGCCATAGACTCTGAACGACGTTTTGTATAACTTACAAGCTACTTTGACACGTACATACACACGCATACACGCGCATGCATAGCCCGCGTGTTGCACCGCACTTTGCTTAGGTACATAGGGGGCGACAGGGAGGTGCGAAGGCCACCGGGTTCATCTGTCGAGCCGGCTCTCGCTCAACCCTCCCAAGTCGCCTCCACGGCACGGTAACCCATTTGACGGAGATTCCCCGTTTGCCTTGCAGGGGCTTCGACATCGGAAACCACTTTTGCGAGTGGATGTTCGACTACTCTCAGCCGTCTTGGCCGTTTTTCAAAACCAACGTGGAGAACTACCCATCGCGCGAGCAGCAGGTGAGAGAAGGGCGGGCAGGCGGGGGGTGTGACGTGTTTGTTGGCTGCGTCGCTCAGCCGAGGCCGCTGGCCAGCCTTCGTCGTGCGTATGAAATAGATTTTGAGTCGACACCAGGATTCGCGGTCACCCAAACGCCACTTTGTTTGCGTTCAATCAATCGACACTCACACGGACCCCGGTCATCCTCGCAGCGGCTTTTGGCTAGCCGTCGAAGAAAGACGGTCACCGCCATTGCCTCGCGCGTTCTGATTCGCTTCTGTGGCCATCTGGAACGCTTTTTCCTCCCGATATTCGGAAGCCCACTGTTAGATATGCATTTTTTTAACGTAGATTGAAAACTAATTTCTTTGGAACTGCTTTTTGTGTTTAATTTCTTATCCATCCCCAGCACGTCCATTTAGCTGCGTACGGTGCGAAAGAAGTTCAACATAGATAAATACAATCAAACTTTATTTAATACAGTGTGCTTTGTAATAAAATTGTCACAGAGCGCTTAACATGCATGTCAGTTGAACTTCTTTCACACCTTCGTTAGCTAACTGCGCTAATCAAAAGGTACGGGGGAAGGACAAATAACTAAACATAAAAAGCAGATCTAAAGAAATGAGTTTTCACATGCAAACATAACGTAGCATAATAAAAAAAAAATCTTATTATAAAATACATATTTAGCCCAATTCTTTTTATAGCAAGACCTTTATCAGACTGTTCATGGTGCGCTGCACTTGAACGCAACGTCGACCAGCACACTGCACCATGAACACCCTACACGCAGAAACCAGACTGAGAATCCTGATACTAAGACTAAGAACCCACACACCTATGCACTGAACCCATAAATCTGGACTACGAATCAACAAACCTGAATTGGCAACCCAATAAAACCGGACCACGAGACCACAAACGCAGACGAGAAACCCACAAACACATTATTTTGTCCACTGAGCTTTACAAGTGTTACAATTGCGCTTTAAATTGAGACTCAATAAAATACTCCTTGGTGCCATTGTTGTGAACAACGTTACACAATGGAATGTCGAGTGAACGAATTTCCCACTGATCACGGAAAATTCCCTCCATCTCCCAAAGCCAGAACTCAACATTCTACTGTGAAACGTCACGATTTTTCCACATGACATCATCAACTTTCACAATGTGCAAAGCCATTGCACTGCGGCGAGCACTCGAGTCTCAATGTGGTCACAAGTTTGAATTCCACATGTCGACTCGAGCTGTCAGTTTCAATTAAAATGAATACCGTCAGTCATTAGCTATCTACTGCTGGATGAAGGCCTCCCTATATCCTCCGCCTGCACCACGAGGAAATCTCATCGCTCCGCGATCGGCGTCCTCTTCCTGGGCTGCCGGCATGATGATTGTGCCGGGTGTCAATGTTGTTGCAGCTGCTCTTTATTCGCCAATACCTGGCAGCGTGCGGTGACGATGACGACATCGATCTCAACAAGGAGGAGGCCATGCTGGTGGAGGTCAATCGGTGCGTGGCGTCACGATCGAACCGGAGCTGTGAGGGTGGGGGGGGGGGGGGGGCGGGGTGTGGGGGTTTCGGGGGGGGGGGGAGGTTGTGCTTACAATGGCCATGTTGGAGACATGGCCATAATTTGTGGCCAGGTCACTTCTGAAAAAGAGCTAATAGCTGAGTGGGCCTTATCTGGTCAAATGAGAATATCTTCGTTTTAGTTTATAGTTTAAAATATTTTCTCCGCGTACATGTTCATTCTGTCCAGCTATCGAATTTCATCTCACATGTAAGAAACACTGAATAAGGAATTGGCCAAATGACTCCTCTGCAGGATCCTCCTGACAATGTGTTATGAGGCTCAGCTGGGTATATGAAGATCGATCATCGATGTTGTTATTTAAGGTGCTGTGATTGTGTTTGCCGTGCGCAGGTTTGCCCTGGCGTCCCACTTCTTCTGGGGTCTCTGGGCCATCATTCAAGCCAAGATATCCACTATAGAGTTTGGTTACTTGGTGCGTTTATACCATTGCTCACACATACAAACAAAGATTGGTTCAACCTTTTATCGAATGTCAGAACACTGCTGTGAGCGAGCATCTGTTAGTGTCGCTCTATAAGAGATCACAGTTGTGGGGCCATTGCTGGGATTGTCTCCCCGGTGCTAAAGCGGACTGACTCATTCCACCAGACCAAGCTGACCTCTGGGCTGCATTCATAAAGCACTCGGAATTGAACCAAATATGCATGGCACTATTTACTGACATAATTGTTTATATAAGGTGTAGCTTTTTCTTGTTAACCGTGTTGGTGTCTAATCTGCGGTCGCCTGGTCTGCTGATTTTCTCTGCGTCCATGCTGCTTCCCACCAATTTATCCCTGAGCAGAGTTAATTTTAACGATTAGCAATTACTGTGAACAACGACGGGTGACCGCGTCGCGCGCTTTCAGATACGCTTCTGCAGCCGTCCGGAATAATCTCCCTTTCGGTTTAGGAAGCAACTGGAGCTGTGCACTTACAAATCTAGATTGAAAACCCATTTCTTTAGAACTGCTTGTTGTCGTGTTTAATTTGTTGTTCCCCCCCCCCCGCCGCACCTCCGATTCGAACAGTTGGCTACATACGGTGCCAAAGAAGTTCAACATACACACGCGTACATACGTGTGAGGGTCATAGAACGTGAAACCCTGCTCACCCTGAGCTTCATGGTTTTCTCTGCATCTCGGAGTGAGCTGCAGATCGTCTTAGCCACAGCTAAAGTTGCAAATATATATGCTGCACTTAAGAGCCTCTAGATAAGCAACAAACTATCTTTGCTGCTGTCTCTTAACCCTTCGTGCATCTTTTCCTTCTTAAGTGAGGTTTATAGTTTTAGTCTCTCTTCACCTTCGTACCGGAAATAATCATTTGACACAGAAATACCTCGTGGCTAATGTTTAATTGGTCATAATCCCACGTGGTGCCCCAAGCGTTCACTTAGGCGTTGTATAAGCTCCATTGACCACATCCCCAGTGCCGACCCCCCCCCCCCATGAACGTTGCTTTACCTGTCTCGGTGTTTGGTCCAGTGTGAGCCTGGTCTGCTGATTTCTGTGTGTGGCTCTTCCCCCCCCCCCCCCTCCCGGCACTTGATGGTGCTCTGTGTAGACGACAAAAACATCATGGGGTGCATTGCTCTGCATGTCGGCGAGAGCCGATTGCAGAGCAAATGATAGTACAACAGAAAGCAAGTTACGCAACCATTGTATATGCCACATCAATGGGTCATACGGATAGTTTTCAGTAACAGCGTGTGTGATTACATTGCTTATGCAAATATCAGAATCGGAATATTTGATTATAGTGGAGGAATCGGATGAGCTATAAAGCTCCTTGTCACAGATGTCCAGTAGAATATGAATTGGGGTTCACTTTGTCTATTGAACATGTTTACAATTTAACCTGCCATGCCACTGGTGCACATTCGCTATTGTGATTTAAATGCAGATGAAATTAATTTTGAATTGGACTTTTGTAATTATATTGCGCTCTTAAAAGACGTCATCATCAATGGGCTCCAGATCGTCTGGTGAAGATTGCCTCCAGTCTTTAATTCATCGAGTTGCTTCCGCTATTAGCCGGGCACACCAGTAATCCAGTGCTTCAGGGAAAGGGTTGTTGCGAATCACATTCACTCGTGTGACTCCCAAAGCCTGCTGGCCTGCAAGGAGGCCAGGTGATGGTAATAGAGCAAATGGGTACATAAACCCATCCTGTGGATCTCTTGAGTGTTTATCAAGTTGTGTTCATAGTGAATTTTATCGGGATATTTCAGTATCCTCCCACGCTCGGTAAAATATTATTAGTATTTAGAATTTGTTTAGCATCCGCATACTTAAAAGCACCTCAAGGCACTATAGAGGGGGGTGACCTTGTTACCGTATATGGCACATGCAGACAGATTTATAATAAAACTATACGTACGAGTTGGCCACCACAATCATGCCATCTGAACCCCTGTGACCCCCACAGACGGGGAACTTGGTATTTTGTGTGTAATAGAACAGGTGTAATAACACGTCTGAATTTATGCAAACCGGGATAAAAATAGGGATTGCGGGGTCTGGACTCTTTCCGAAATCTTGCTGAAATGCGGACAAATGCCAGGCATCCCAAACGTATCAATGTGGGATCCTCCTCTTGAGTCTTGAGACTCGGGGGTGGCTATCCTGGGTAAATATACATATATATTTTTTTATCACAGTTTGTTCCTTGTACTATTGCGAGCAGATATATCGTCGCCCGCATATATATCTTGGGTTTTTTGTGGGGAGGAGCCATAAAAGTTGAACGAAGAAATTCTGGAAAAATATTGGAAGATCGTTGCAATCCCAAAAACTCGGCAATGAAACAGCGGCCCCACCAGTGCTCACTTGTTGTTGGCTGCGTCTCCATATGGCACAGAAACGCCACTTATCAGAAATTAGCAGCTTTGTTTTGCAGTTTAGCACTTTACCTGTACAATAGTGTCATACTGTACCGTGGAGCAATACCGTAGAGTAACTTCAGCAGTACAGTAAACTTCCTGTATACTATGCACACACGTCCAGACCACGCGAGTTATATTTGTACTTTACTTTTAGAAACTGTTTTAATGTAACGTGAATTGTTGAGCCGTCCAAAAAAACATGAAGCTGCCTAAATTTGAAAGGAAAATTGATACGCAGCCCTGAACTTGGCCCGGATTTCGAAGTGACACCGTAACCACTCACCCCCCTTGTTGTTGCCCTTGCTTTCAGGAGTATGCCCTCGCCAGGTTCGAGACTTACTTCGCCCAAAAGAAGAAGTTTGTGTGAGAAGCGACGGTCGCCGCACCGTGCCCACTTCCCGCCTTGTGATTAACACGGAACCGAACCGACGCCGATGAGGAGAGAAAGAAAACGGTTTGTGTCGAGAGAGAGAGCGAGAGAGAGCGAGAGGAGCATACGCTGGAATAAGGGAATGACCAATTTTTCGCCCGCAAAAAAGTGAAACCTGAGGCGCGCTGCTGAAGTGTCTCAAATGGATCTCTGAAACGCTTGTTCTAATGTAAAACTTGAAAATGCCCAAGCTGAACGTGTGTTGTCTTTACGTTCGTTGTTTTTAACCGTCTGTCTCGGCTATAGCCAGTCCCATCCGTGCCATTCTTAACCCTGCGCACACGGGAGCAGATTGCATTGTTGTTGCGTGGTCCTGTGTATTATGCTTCGCATTGGCTACGCCTGTTCATGATGCTGTGACGTATCTTTTTTTAATCGCGGTTGGTAAAAGCTTTGTAAATGCATCGCAAGCTAAGTTGGGGAGGAAAAAAAACGTTAGGTATTTTCCCCTCCACCTCGAGATAAGCTTTTGGCTGCAAGCGCATCAACTCGGTCCTTCATCTCTATGGGGGGGGGTGTTTCAACCAAATGAGTACATCTTCGTAGGGAAGTCCGAAGTTTATTTACAGAGTAAAGCCCATTGAGTTATACAGTTTTTTTGTGTGTCAAAGGCGACCCCGTAGTTGCTCTACTAGAGGGGACTGGTCCTCCCATCGTAGGGGATTTGGAATTTCACACTTTGGCTCGTTCCCATTAACGGAAAAGAGCATCGCCCCATCATTTGAGCGTGGGTGGAGGGGGGGGGAGAACATTGGCTTTGAATCCACGGGCTGTCGTCGTGTTCTTCGCATCACTGAAGTACCCTGTATTACACACTTGTAATTTATAAGCCTTTGAAGGTGGATTCCAGTTAATGTAAAGTGCTGCTTTTAGAGGTCCGGATAACCTGGCACTCAATGCCCAGGCACTTTACTCGGACTCTACGGATACATTCTGGCACCAGCGTGTGTGCTGTGTTCTGTTGGGAATTAGCAAATTGCACAATTTAAGTAACTCTTGCAAACATCCATTGTGCAGCAACATGTGTGCCTTGTTAATTGCCATCCCAGAAATGTAATCATGTTATTGGTATTCCTTTACCACCATGTTGTAAACGTGAGCACACTGGGCTTGCAATCCAGTGGTCGCCGGTTAGAGTCCCATCTCCTGGCGCGGGAGTTTAAGACTCGTCCAAGTTTCTTGAATCCCACTTGCCCTCCTGTCCACCCAGCATTATAAACGGGGAACACCCACAGGGTAGTCGTTTGGCGGATCGCACGTGGTCGGATGAGGTGGTGGGTACGCCCACCTCTTCCAAAGACGTCTGGGGAGCTTTGAGGAGGAGACCAAAATACCGAGGAACGGCTGCTCTATAGTGCCCTCTAATGGAGACTTTTCCACCAGCAGTGTCATGAGCAAGCAGTTTGTCGAGCTGCACCTTTAAACCAAGTTCTAATCCAGAAAAACGTCACGGAGTCTGGATTATATTTTGCATCGGAGTGTTTGGCCAATTTCTTATTCAGTATTTGTGTGCATGGGAGAAAACCAAAGTGCCTGGAAAATACCCCACTCACTGAAGGGGGATATCACAACATCTCTAAGGGATGTCGGCAAACCATTTTGCTGTACTGCCTTATTTTCTCATGCACTGAATACAAGGCTAAACGCTCCGCCGATGTGACTGAACGAAAGAGTGGAGGAGGGGGGGGGGGGCATTTTCTGTTTGAAGCTGGCAACCCATCCTTGTGTGGAAGCAAGGCTTGTAATAAACTGCAGGCTTCAGGCAGTTTGGTCCAATGCCTGGAGGACTCTCGTGGCCTTGGCACCAAAGTGCTAAGCGCTGACGTTTACTTTTTAAGCAGTTAAGGACAAATTGAGACACAAATCGCCTTGTAAGGGAGAGTCCTGGTACAAACACAAGGGGGGTGGGGGGATAGAAGACAATACAATCAATTGAGGGGCAAAATAATACTAGCCACGTAAAACTAATCTTTTGAAAAAGCAAATTCAGATTTATTTGTATTGCAATATTCCCATGTTTTGCAACAATTTTGGCAACCATTTGGCTTGGTGTTGCTATAGTTTGAGCGCTCACATTTGAACCCATAATGTCTTCATGGTTAATAAAGAAAAATACCTATTTGTGGAAAAGCCCATCAGTGGTTGTCCGATGAAAAGAATGGGCCCCCACCGTAGGAATGTGGAATTTCCACCACTAGCTTGGAGCCACCAATTGGAGATGACCTTGCACCCTATTGCTCACTCGAGCAGAGGAGACACGTTGGCTTGAAAGGAAACTGGTGTGTCCGTCAGATCTGGTCGTCGGCTTCAGCTGTTGTGACGTGCTGCGTGTGTGTGCCTGCGCGTCTACACGTAAAGTTTCTCCTGCAGAAACCCTCTTACCTGTTGGTGTCGAGCGGTCTGCGGTGCTATGGCCGACTGGAGGCAGACAGATGTCTACAGGCTGCGCCACTGCTAATACTCTAAAGTGATTCTCTCTGCCCGCAGTGCACCTTGCTATGTGAGTGTTTGTACCGTGCATAGCTGGGCGTATGGCACCTACACTGGCAGAGCTTGCATTTGTTCCTATATCTAAAGCGATGGGAATGCACTGTGTGGCCAGTCCCTTTGTGGGGACACCTCACTTGATCTTATGATCGCTGATAATAGTACGATCTGTGAGCTCGCTGGTTTGTGGTCTTCAGGGTCGATGGTGATATGATCTTATGGTCTTTAAAATGCAATTGCTGCTGTTGCTGCTGTTCCGTGCTTGCGCGTGTCTTGAGCTGTTTTGCATTGCAAAAAGAAAAGTGTAAAGTTTGTATGTATTTTCGTATGCTTTATGGATCATGTGGGCGAAAAAGCTGCGCCGAACGTGCAGATTTTTTTTATTATTATTGCATGCATGGAGAATGCATATATATTTTTAATGTGACACTTTGTACAAAAGAGTACCTTCACTTTTTTTCACGTTCATCTTTTTTTAAGTAATTGAAATCTCGGAACCAATAACTACATTTTAAAAAAATATATGTTTTTGTAATTATTTCTCTTTGGTTGTTATGCTCGGTTATTGAAATGCTCCAAATGCTGTGAGTTACAGATGGACAGTTTTGTTTCCGTTTAATGGTTCCAATATTTAGTCTTTTTTTTAAATTAAGTTGAGTGATGTCACATCCACCCGAAGCGAACTGCGTTTGAGTTGGAAATTTGTGAACGGAGAGCGTCGGTCACACGGTGTTGAGGATTGCTATAATTTAAGTGAGTACAACAAAACTGGACTCGATTAGTAACACGTGTCCAAAAACGTCACCGGTTCAGGTGCCGCTGAGAATTATGGATTGTAATTGACCGACTCGCTGTTGCGTTGCAAGCCCCCCTTGCCTCTTTGGATGATTCTGATTTTCTGGATTCAGTGCATGACCAATCACATGATTGGCTGAAATTAGAAAAGGAAATATTGATTGGCTCTTCTCCTGTACGTTGCCGGCAATCGCCTGTACCGTTTTAATTACATTTCTCCCCAACGTTTCTCAAGTATATTTCAGCACGGCGACAAATCTTGAAGTATTGGTACCATGGTTAGTGCGTCCACCTCGCAATCGAAAGATCGAGTTGAGAGTCTTGAGCTTACTCGGTCCATCATTGTTCTGGGGTGGATAAACGATATACCACTTTGTGGGAAGTCAACTGTGCTTGTCTTATGCAGTGGGTTTGCACCCAACCACACATCAACGTTTTACACCACTGGCCTAGGGCAACCAATACAAAATGAGCACCCGCTCCCCACACTCGTTTTGGGCAGGGAGAGGCACTTGATTTAAAAAAATGAAATTGTAATGTACATTTCTTTACTGATTTTCAACGTTTATATTTTGACTTTAACGATTTTATGCCGTGTACATTTTCATGCTGATCATTTGAAAGGCAACAGACATGGTTTGAATTTCATGGAATTTGGAAAGCCGGTGTGATAATGGTAACAAGAAATTTTGTGGGCGAATGCTCGCGTTCTGTTGACCGTCTGCATGTGTGTCCACTTAATGTTCTTGATTCCACACCATTATAGTCTTTGGCAGTCAGCTGCCAGTGAATAACTCCTTCGGATTTCTCTAATTCAAGCAAGAAGATGGACTTGCTCGTGCTAACTCAGTTGCTTATAGTTCATTCACACATTTTAACTACACTACGAATAATGTGCACGTTTGTTTTTCCTCCATAGCCATGTACACAGAGCTGTTTTCGGTAAGTTAATCTTTACGTGCATTTATTGCAAGAGAATATTTGCTTAAGTGCTTGCACATATATGTAGGTGACTTCTGTGTCCGTTTCGTTTTTGTTTATTTAGTTTTTCAGTCAAAACCGGCTTCATTTTTTAAAGCTACATTTTCCAAAAAACACTGGATAGTTCAATATATCTGGATGTTCAGTATCTTGAATGATTCACTCGTGAATTAACTGAGCCTACTACAGTTTTTGTCTAAACTGATCTACAGACAACAGGATCTGTAATCGTGATGAATGTCCCACATTTTATGATTTCTTGTTATAGTTCGATAAATAACTTGTAAACCCAACATCTAGGACTCTTGAAATAAACCTGAATTAACTGGAAAACAAATGTTCAGTCTTTGCCTTCATTTTACGGTCTTTGTTTTGGTTTATGGGGTTAAGCTGTATTGGTAATGCATTATGTTGTGTATATGCAATAAATATGCTCTTTAACACGTAAGCTTTAGCGACCAATATTGTTCATTAAAAAAACATATTCTAGGGTTAGGTCGCGTAAATATAAATGTAATTAAACCCACCATTACCCGACAGCCAATTAGGTAATTATGTAATTGGCTGTGCCGGGTGGTGACGCATTTAGCGACATTCACGCGATATAAACCAAAAACACCTATGTCTTGGATATATGCTCTATTGAGCTGTGACCAAATTGCCCGAAATGTGGCGGCCCAGTCTTAGATCTCAGAAGCGAAGCAAACTTGAGCCTGCCATAGTTCTTTGATGGGGGTCGAACGCGGTGCATGAAACGAGTGTGTGTTCGTATTGCGTAGGCTGCTGTGGGTTGCGTTGTCCGGCAGAGGGCGATGCAGCAAAACTCATCGCACAATTCCAGATTTAAAGCTTTCGTGACTGCAATGATTCATCTTCTTTGGTTCTTTCGGTAAAGTCACGTAGAATGAGAATAAAATAATAAATTGATAAAATAAAATAACACAATAATATTCTCACGACGTTTCGGCCACAACACAAGCGGCCTTTTGTTTTTTTTTATCATCGTACAATGTCACGCCTTCAATGCTCCCTGCCTATTTCACCAAATATGCATTGGCCAGCGTGGTGAGCGATGTTCAAATAATAACCACCACTGCTAACCCGTACTGTGTGGGTTTGGCCTTCATTCGTTCGTGGAATGATGAAAACAAGTCTGCAAAACGTGAAGAAAGACAACGATGCCTTAAAGAAAAACAGCAATGTGGCTAGATCTTTTTCCAATTCTATTTGCAGAAGATTAAAACATTGCTACGTCCCGTTATTTGTTTAAAATGATCAGCATTACATTGTACTAACTATTGCACTTAATTCCAGTGAAATTGCATGCGACTCATACTTTTAAATTGCGATTCTACGGGGTAATTTTCGTAATAATACACAAGATGATTTCTAGACGACAACAGGCACGATTGTGCCTATTGGATCGGTGTTCCCATCATGCCGTGCACTTGGTCATTCCGTGACTGCGTATTGCACACAGCCACATTTTCGATCATTTACAAAAATGTACCATTCCCAGTGCCATGTTTCCCCAATTCAACCACTAATCGTGCGAGTACAGCGTGCAGTGGTTTACATATGAACGGGTGAGTTCGTTAAATGTGGGCAAGGCAGACATGTCGATGGTTAGGAGTGCAAAAGGTGAGTTGGCGTGATGATAAATCCTGTGCTACAGGAATTGAGTGAGATTCGAATTAACGACGTCCCTTTTGCATCGATGATGACGGTATTAGTTGTTTAAGGTGACGCGAAAGCACAAAACACGGAGAGCCAGCGCGAGAAGGTGAGACACCGTCTTCCCCACTGCCGACTCAAGTCCCGATCCCTCTGCTGGGGATCGCGCTGCTGTCACCTTTCTAGAGTCTCGCCCAGATCAAGAAGAGAAACCCTGCCGTGCGAACGCACAAGGGATTGACGCGGACGTCCAAAATAAACACCTTCGAGACGCAAACATCGCACCCTCCTGGCTTTGACATTCCCCCGCGAAGACATGTGCGTACCACTGACTACAATAGAACATGGGGGGGGGGGGGGGTGAACAAGCCACAGTAGTACGATTGTGGCCATGGGACTAAACTTTCGGCCATATAGGAGGAATAGCAAAACGACACGAACTCTCTCCTGAAACCCTTCTGGTGGCGACCAGACCTCGACATGGCCTTTAGCTCCTGAATGGCCGAAACGTCGCGAGAATTTTATTGTTTTATTTTATTATTTTATTCTCATTCTACGTGACTTTACCGAAAGAACCAAAGAAGATGAATCCTTGCAGTCACGAAAGCTTTAAATTGGATAGCCATTGTAATTTAAATGCATTCATTACCCCCCCCCCCCCCCCCCCCTCTAACCTTCGCACAAGAATGGCTCGCAAGTGACAACATCACATCTATCCCTCTATTTAAGGAACGAAACAGGAGGATTTCTCCACAAATCTGTCTGTCGCCTGATGCTGGTTGTAATTACTGACGACGCGTCGTACTCAGATTGTAAATGTTGTGTATTTACTCCAACACACCAGTGTGCTGTACGAGTCACGAATTTGCATGTTCCGCTTGCGTGACAAACCTTATTTATTGGCTGTCGGGTGGTGGCAGGTTTAACGAGACATATGTATGCGATCTCACCCAAATAAAACCTGTTATGGATGATATTGGTAGCGAATGCCTCTGTTAAACTGACATCCCATGAGCCACACAGCTTTTTGTGTGTGTTTTTTTAATCGGCATTGGTTTCAATACAAGAAAACTCGGGGCTGGTTTCGACATTCAGGGTCTCATCAACAAACCAATACTGCTGAACTGCCACATGTTTAAATGGCATACGGATGGGTCCTGGTTGGACAAATCGGTCTTTAACCAATGCGTGGATAATGTGATGTGTAAAAATGCTTTTTTTACGTGGGGGAGGACGGATATGCGAAAGGAGCATCATACACACAGTTGTTCCTTCTTGATGACACTTGAACTCACAGGGTTAAGACATACATTTTTATTTAAAGCTTTCGTGACTGCAGTGATTCACATTCTTGGTTCTTTCGGTAAAGTCACGTTGAAGGGAAACAATAAAATATATATAAAATAATATTGTTTAATATATATTTTATTATTTTATTGTTTCCCTTCAAGGTGACTTTACCGAAAGAACCAAGAATATATAGGGTTAAGACATGTCGAGTTGACACGTTTAAACGTTGGTCCAGCGCTGAATATGCTGGAGTTCAGGAAATGTCCAACAGGGGTGTAACCATTCGAGGCCCAGCAATTCAGGATTGTGATTCAAGAATCATTGTGGTAAATATAGTAGCTGCACGCGTCACGAAAATCCATGACCTACAATGTATACGAATTAAAACATCGATCCTGACACGATTCGACGCATGTATTGTGAGCTTGAATGGAGCAGTGGTGCAGCAGTTCGTGCACTGCGCGATGAACTCGGTGATCTTGAGATTAATTCTCTGCCACGGCTAACATCAGTGGTGAGTGATATCTGAACAGGTACTGTTCATCCTTTCAGCAACTAACCAGCACTGACCGGCGTGATGAAGTATGGTCAAATGTGCCCCATGACCCATGACCGGCACAGGGTGGGGAGACCTTCATCCAGCAGTGGATTGACAAAGGACTGAACCTTATTCTTGTTAAATCTTATTATTGCGAGTATAAAAACAATCAATAAAAATCCATATCAATGTTAATCAATGCATGCACTGTTACACCAAGACTAATCCACACTCTCCAGCTTGAAGTGTTACTAAATAACCCCACGGAGTGGGGAGACCCTTATCCAGCAATGGATGGACCAACGGCTGTACGTATGCACATGCCCACAATATCCCTATGATGGGAGCCACGGTGCAGTTACTCAATTGTTGCCAAAACACTGCCGTGCAGAACTTGATGAATAAATGTCCCAATGCAGATGACTAGCTGACTTTTATGGGGCCCTCTGTGCAGACCACATCCGTGTACTTTTGTTCAAAGTCATGTTGACACTTTGGCAAAAGTGTTCAGCAAGACTCTCAAAGGGCAATGTTCATTGCATTCTTGGAGACGAGAAATGCATGCCTTCAGTCCATTTCCATGTTATTGGCTGCATCCTATTTTTTATATCGGTTTAAATTAAGGCCTTCCATGAAAAAAATATACTTTGGCTCATGCACTTACACATTCTGGATTTGATTCAAACATTTATCCAGCATACTTTATACTGTTTATTAATGTTCGTTATTCCATTGCTAATATGGCTAAGTACAAATACAGTTATTATTACACACTTTTACTCATGCAAGTAGTTATGTAATTTATAATTCTAGTGGTTTTAATTAATTCTCTATTGAGTCCTATGTTCACTCTATGAACCTTTGTTGACTATGGACCACGTGTTGTCTCTGTGAGTCCTATGTGTTTACTGAACCATACATGTTATTTGAGTCCTATGTGTTGACTGAGCCATACATGTTATCTGAGTCCTATGTTGTCTCTGAGTCATGTTTTGACTATTTGAGTCTCTTGTTGGCTCGACGAGTCTTATGTTAGCGAGCCTTTTGCCCACACAAGGACGGATGTATTTCAGTAAATCTGAAACTTGCAAGCGAAAAGCAGACCGCGACGTGATATGAATTCCATCAATTCGTGTGCAATTTGTAAGGGCGCGGTGACACAGACCTATTTAATTTAAAAGTTATAATCCATTGTTCATCATGACGTCCTTTTTACTTCGATGTCTCAGTAGCGTCACGGAGATCACGTGACGTGAGGGTTCTGCCTTTGTAGTGAGGGTTGTGAGCTGACGCCGAAGGGGGGGGGGGAGGAGGCGCCTCGCCCCCCATGTGGAGTGACGTCACCCGCTAATTTTTATTAATGGCGGGGGGGGTGTCCATTTGGAGCACGTCACCTGCTCATGATTATTAATGAGGGGGGGTCAATGTGGAGGACGTCACCTGCTCATGATTATTAATGAGGGGGGGTCCATGTGGAGGACGTCACCTGTTCATGATTATTAAGATTATTAATGAGGGGGGGGGGTCAATGTGGAGGACGTCACCTGTTCATGATTATTAATGAGGGGGGCTGTTCGACGTGGAGTGACGTCACACGCAGGACACAGACATTATTGGCTCATTTTAGTCGTAAATTACGTGTATTTGTCCTATGTTGCCTCTATGATCTTTGAGTGAGTTAACTCCATCAGTCATGTGTTGTCTCTATGAACCTATTAAATCCATGGGCCATGTGGCCTCTCCACGCGCCCCACGTTGTCTCCACCAACCCCGCATTGTCTCTCTACGATCGCTGTAACTCCGTGCGCTGTGCTCAGTGCGCCCCCCACCCCCAA